ATTCAAAAATATAAAGCGATACATTCTGAGGATATCATATAAAGCGCAATCTTTGGTTACAAGGGCGAAGCTAATGGAGTACAAATTTAAGATCGCAACATGTCTAAGTGTCAAAATGTGTATCTTTGGTTGCTAAGGACAGTAAACAATAAAAAAAACATGAATTGCAATCCTAGCAGATTTTTTACCTTCAGAACTAAAACAAGAACCTAAAAGACTAAAGATTTGTGGTCAAATTTATCTTTAAAAAGGCATTTCTGTGCTTTCTGGTGTGCCTTAAGATGACATTTTCCCCCTCCTGCCTCAATTTTTAGTATATTTTCTGTGTTCTACTAGCTGTTACGATTAAAATGGTACCTTAGTTTTTAAAATTGGTCCAGTAATAAAGATTTTATGAAGGTTAGCAGTTGATGTTCAAACGCGACAAAAAGTGATTTAAAAATGAATGCCAGATCATAGTGAAAAACCTCAAGTCTGTCTCATTTTTGGGGTAAATTTCTAAAACTTTTCCCTTATTTCTGTTTAAAATCTTAAAATTACCTTAAAAGAGGAAAAATTGTACAATTTTTAGGTATTTGAAAGCACTCATAGGTCAATTTTGCTGTAAATAGCATACCAAACCTTGGTTTAGAAGCTCTCAAGCAGGGTATAAATTTCTAACAGTTCTGGCATCATTAAATTTAATTAATGCCAAATTATAATATAAAATCCTGCTAAAAATGTTTATTTGACTTATTCGCATTCAAAAATATAAAGCGATACATTCTGAGGATATCATATAAAGCGCAATCTTTGGTTACAAGGGCGAAACTAATGGAGTACAAATTTAAGATCGCAACATGTCTAAGTGTCAAAATGTGTATCTTTGGTTGCTAAGGACAGTAAACAATAAAATAAACATGAATTGCAATCCTAGCAGATTTTTTACCTTCAGAACTAAAACAAGAACCTAAAAGACTAAAGATTTGTGGTCAAATTTATCTTTAAAAAGGCATTTCTGTGCTTTCTGGTGTGCCATAAGGTAGCACTCCACAGTTAGAATATAAGATTAAAAATGAACCACAAAATATTTTATCATCTCCTATTCCTGGATTTCTAATACATTAACCTAACTGTTTGTGTTGTACATGTGCATATGTATGTAATCAGTATCTTCCATAGATTTGATTTTCAAAAGTTAAAAGGGTGAAATATAATTCCTTCTATGTGTATCCATGGCAACATTCTGCATTTATTAACCATAAAATATTGCAAAAAGGGGGATGAAAATGTCACATATCCCCCCAAAATTTGGATCAAACTAGAATTTCAATGCCAATGAGTGATACCTTTTTAGAAACTGGTGACATTAATCTTCCTAATAATCAAATAAAAAATGGGTGTCTTTTGCCTCATTTTTTCGTAAAATTTAATTACAAAGTTCGTGCGACAAAAAGTTGGAAAAAAACATTACAATAATTGCCGGACCAATGTATGGTATGGATATGCAAATACGGACTGTCATACAGAAAACAGCCTATATTACATACATTACATAATCTTGATGTTCATATAAACCCAATAGGAAGGCTATTTTAATCCTCAGCTATCCAAAAATGAATTTTATTGCACACTAGCTCTCATGTTTGAAAAATTCACAGGGGCCAAAATGCGAAACTACACACCTAACTGTGGAGTGCTACCTTACACACAAAGCTCCGCCTACTTTCTAAAATAAGAACGGGCTTCTGAAACAGCGGGAATGTCAGTTAGACTTGATATTTCGACGATGATGGATGCACGTTTACATTGGTGACGGATAACGTTACAGACGAAAAAATGTTGAAGGAATTAGATGTTCTGGATATGGACGCACGAGACTTCAGATTTTCAGATATTTTAAAACATTTCTGGAATCCCAGATTAAAAGTTGAACTGCAAAGGGTTAGTTTTTGTTATTTTATCAAAATGTTCAAAATATTTTAACTTTTTAATATTAATTTATAATTCTGGGGAAATTAATTTCACAAGAATCTTTCTGAGAGTTTGGATGAATCATTCCACGTTTTGATTTGTACCAGAAGCCCAAGTTGTACATTGATTAAAAGGGAATTCAAAATGTTCACGATTAAAATCACATGTTGACTATAGGTAATTTAAACAAAAAAAATAAGCTTCATTTAGAGTAACCAGACATTATCTAATTTTAACGGTCCAACATTGTTGTTATTACTTAAGCAACCTCGTTAAGTCCAGATGTCAGCAGTGTATAACAAATCGGATCCAGGATTTTGAAAAGGGGGGGATCTAACAAGCCAACATTTTAAATAATACTATGAAAAAGTCTATGCATTCACCGTTTATGAAGCTCCTTAAAAGGGATGTGCCCCCTGCCCCCCTTAAAAAAGTCCGCCTCGGCAAATTCAAACCTATGCATGAAGCTGTACAGTGGAGCCTATGGGGACACAACCCAAGTATTTTGATAACCGAAAATCAACGTATATTTCCAATATAATATATAAATCTTAACATATCTATACATTTTTTGAAACTTTATTTGTTTGTTCTAGGATCGAATTTTTGTTCATTTAAAAATATAGGACAACGTAGTTGGTGTACGTGGGTTCGATTCCCACCCTAGGCATTCATTTATATCGGCTGGTGCAAAGCGCGCAGTTTAGCATAGTGGCCCCGTACTGACTATGTTGTTCCTATGTAAAAAAATTCAGGAGGCCGCGGCCAGGTCTTGCTATCTTTCTTTTTCTTTTTCGAATACCATATACAACAAAACCAAGGTATAATTGTGAAAATTATACCATAGATAGCTATGGTATAATTTTCGGTTATTGAGATTTATACTCGGGTTGCATTCACATAGGTTCCATTGTACAGCTATAGGTTAATATAGCGATAGCGTCCGAGTATGTTCTATAATTAAAGTTTGCAATATTTCTGTGGGTAGCTTGTTAAGAATAAGTGGAACAAGAAGTGAACCATACGTGACATCCGTCCGTTCGAGTTACTCTACGTAAGTTTGTGTTTAGTTGTAATAACTGTCACGGCTAATTAATTACAAATAGACGGCAGCATTTCATGCAGAGCTAGCATTCGTGTTTGTATTATCGTATGGATCTGTCCCCACCGCTCTTGAAGCAATAAAATAGCGTTGCGAAGTTAGTGTTGGCCATAGAAACTCTTGATAGTATTTATAATACTCCGCCCAGTAGATATGACTTCAAGATGAATGTGGAATTTGTGTCGGAAGCCGTCTCATAAGAATCCAAAAAGTATTGCAAATTTGATATATACTCTTCATAAGTAGCTTTAACATTGGAAGGTTGTGGTAATGCCTAGTTGCATAAGAGGACGAACGTAAAAAGGACCGTGATACAGTGGGGTTGATGTAATTGCCTAATTGCTGCATTTGTGTGTACATGCGATGACGATGAAACATGCAGGCGGATCCATGGTCTGTATGAGTATATCAAAAAGGGTAACAGTATCCAAAAGGTAAAGGCCTTACTGTATTTCTTCTGATTATTATTCTTCCGCCAAACTTTGCCAAACTTTGACAAAATTTGCCTCCGTAATCGTAAGACATGGCACAATTAAGTTAACACTTTGTATCGGTGTCACAAATATCTATCTGGAACTCACTCGGTGAGTCGTAAAATTTGTTGGTCTGGAGTTATCTGCCCAAAACCTGAACCAATGGGGTCTTTTGCAATAAAATCTGGGACCAATGACCTTAACAAAGGTCATAAGGTTAAAAGGTCAAGGTCATGTCCTAGATAACGAATTTGTGTTTTGACCCTATTTTAAGGGTTGTATGTGTGTTTAAAAAGCTTTTCAATCCATTTTATGTCTTTTAAAACACATATTTTACGATATGAAAAGGAAAGACCTCTCAATTGTTCACGAATAATTGACATTTTAATTGCATCTTTGTGTCTTCTACGGTAGCTTGCTGTTGGAGATAGATAAATTTTTGCAAGTCTTAATTGTTTTGAAAACGTTACCGGAAAACTAAATTTTGGCAGATTTTAATAACTAATTTCGTGATAGAATAACACATATTTGTCACTTACCATTTAGTTTAACTTTGTCTCATATGATTATGGAAGTACATAGTCGTTTAACAGTAACAAACAAATTGATATTCTATTTTCCGTCATATATGTAGTATAAGTTGAACCTAGAACCTAGAAATTGATTTGAATTCAAAATATGGGATTTTATATTTTGCACAATTCTGTCCGTCGCTTTTGTATTCACTGCAATGTGTTCGTATATTTTTATTAGTAAATTATTTAACTTTTAAGGTCCAAATCTACAAATACAATAACTATATTAGTTGTGTACTCCACTGTTACGACGAGACGTTGTTATATAACGTGAATACAGCTATATTCAATCTTTGATTAAATTTGAAATAGAAAATTAAAAAAACAATATTTTGTTATCAATGCTTGTTCTTTTCAAAGCCCCTCCTTTTTTTTTAACAAAATATTGATTTAATGTTTATTGAAATTTTTCGAACAGTTTTTCATTTGCCTCTGTCTTTTTTATTTCTTGTTTACAATCGTTAATTGTTACATATAGATATATTCTAATTAGTAAAGTATCTGATGTTAAATACATCTGTGAACATCTCTTATTTAACATAGTCTTCCAGACAACCTTGTTGGCTATATTCTTTAAAAAGCTTCTACCGTCTATCGACTTTGGATTGATTTCTTAGTGTGTTTACAATAGTACTGGTATAAGGTCAGATCACCTGCATGATGGTGTGGATTTTTTTCAGAAATTCTCGATAACTTTGTTTACACGAGGGGAACGATGACACGTAGAGACCCGACCCTCCTCTTATACTGCTTTGCGCATGGAGAATAACCATGAGATGAATTGAAAAGATGGAAGGAGAAACATTTACAAGTAGCGCACTACCCACAGTGGGAACCATAATTGAAGTAATGTTGCATATAGTCAACTAAACATGTATCTTCACTATTCAAACGTACTTGTTTCTGTGCAGTTCAAAATTGTGTCGAACTGGAATATAGTAAGTGATAGAAGAGTACAAATCACTTTTACGTTTTGGTCACATTGGCTTATTTTCATGTCAGTTTTCCTAAGAAGTGATGCATCAAAGAACATTCCATTAGGCTTTGTGTCTAAGAAATTGTCCACCCAATTTTCATGCTACAGGAAAGGAGAAAACTGTTTTAAATATTGTACAATAAACAAATGCACCACCTTTATTTCTTTATAAAACAAGTGTTCTATTGTACAATATAATTATATTGTTTTTCGTTAATAAAGAAACTAATGATTGATGATTGTTGTTTGCTTGAGGTCCAGTGGCAAACATTTTATGCATAAACAGGATAAAGGATCATGTGGCTTGAAGAATTCTATTGACATTGTGGTGACACATGTATATCTGGAGCTTATTCATATGTCATTAATGGATAAATCTGTTCTCTCTACATATGACAGAACCATTACCACAAGCTTGAGCATCTGTATGTGACCAGTTAGAAAAGTCAGCTACTATACAACATATCTCTCTCCAGAGGCAGTCCAAATATTCATGCTATTCAGCTCAGACAACGTACCTTGGAGTTCATGCATTGATTGTTTTGATATTTTATTCTTTACATTTACTATCACGCAATATTTGCTTTTAGACGCTCAGCAAACAAAATCAATACATTGAAATATTTTATTTTTATTTTTGTTCATTTTGACTTAGAAACATTATAGTAATTACGATTCCATATCATAACTTAATGGATACAATTAAATTGTGTTTTATTAATTATGATAACTGCGTTTTTTATTATAATTTATAAATAAAAAAAAAAAATGAACATTTACCCCGATCTCAACCTTGCACTTAGGGATTGGGTACACATTGTGAAACTGGATCTGAAGGTTCAACTCTGTTTGCGTTTGGCCAAGGTTGAAACTAATATCGTTTTCAGAAGGTACCCCTGTAAACAATTAACCATATTTATTGAACTGTTATAATATATGTCTGAACTGTAATGTGTATTTCCTTGATACAAAGTAATTCGTTAGTCAAATGAAGGTATGGACAATTTGTTAATAATTCATAATTGTTTGACTAATAATTGTAAATATTTGAATTTGGCTCAATTTAATATTAAGTTAGGTTGAATACTTACCGTAGTCGTCTGTGTACATTTTATGCACCATGGTCAAAGTATGCACAAAACACATTGAAATGCAGTTTAATGTTATCAATTTATATTTGTCTTATAGGTTAGATAATACTTGATCATGTTTTATGAATATTTAAAGCCCGAGGCGAGATGATTTAATTCAACTTTTAGTGAAAAATATATCATCAAATTAACAATGATTAAAGAAACCAATTGAAAAACATTTCGCTAAAAAATACCAAAATAAATATAGCGTATGACATACCATATTTGAAGCTGAATTAAATGCACTAGCGTTGGAGGTATATAACCAATTTGACAATATTTTAATCTTTCAAAGACGAACTAAAACGTCGTCGGTACATGAAATCTGGTATTTATTGATTATGCATTTATATCGCAGTTGACTTCACAGAAACTACGTGAAAAATTAATCAACAAGTCACTACAACTTTTATATCCGTTTTATAATTTCAACATGACAGCAATTTAAAAAAAGCGACGATCTTCGGCAATCCGGGTTAACCCCTTCATTTTAATTTAATGTTTCTTGCATTGAATTTGATATCGTAAAAGAGAGGCAAAAAATACCAAAGGGAATGACAAACTGACAACGCCATGGCAACACAAAAGGAAAATGCCCAAAAGGACAGGCTTTAATTTCTTTATGAAATAAGCTTATTGTGCTAATTTCTAATCTGGGTAGAAATCTTGTTTTAATAATAAGAAAAAATAAGGTAAAATAATTGTACATAATTTACTTGTTTTCTAATCTAAGATTTATTTAGATTTGCAAGTGGCAAGTATAGTATTTGGAAAAATTCTTTATCAAGTAAGATAACCATTAGTGTGGTCTAATTTATGAGAAACGAAACAATATCGAATGTCCGAAGACAAAACAAAATACAGGTTTTATACCAGTTCGTAAGTTTTACGGACATCATCACGAGTTGGTTGACCGTTATGGAATATCAATTTCACAGATGATAGCGGATATGTTCCTGATGTCGTAACTACAATCCCGTCCCATTTTCCCAAATGTAACTTACCGAATTATACTTTTTACCGGGTTTGTACTAACAAGAGCAACACGACGGGTGCCACATGTAGAGCAGGATCTGCTTACCCTTCCGGAGCACCTGATATCACCCCAAGTTTTTGGTGGGGTTCGTGTTGCTCAGTCGTTAGTTTTCTATGTTTTGTTTTGTGTACTATTGTTTATCTGTTTGTCTTTTTCTTTTTTAGCCATGGCGTTGTCAGTTTATTTTCGACTTATGAGTTTGAATGTCCCTCTGGTATCTTTCACCTCTCTTTTTCCTCTAATTCACTACACATTTCACTTCACCAATTATGTGTAGCCAAACCCAACATTTCCAGGTTAAAAAGATTCAAATAGAAAGCATGTATGTTATGACTAGGATCTTTGCAGTTATATTTTATTTTTCATAGGGATTTGCTATGCAAGAAAACAAAAACAGACCATACCAATAAAATGTCGTGAATCTAATGTCAGCATCTGACGACTAGTTTCAAAATCCAAAGAACACCTATATTCACAGTTTACATCGTTCATCCCGAAATCCATTATGACTAGGGAAAAGTTGTAACATGGTCGATAGGCAACTTCGTAATATTTAGATGCGTTCGTAGAATGTCCATTTATCAACAATATGTTCTTGTTAAGACCACCATCCCATCTACGAGTTGCTTCACTGTCACAATTGTCTTTTTGTTCAACCATACAAGTCAGTGTTGCGCTGTCACCAAACACAACTGGAGTTTTCAGTACCCAATAAACTAAACAAACAACTATTAATTAACTGTGTATTGACATTCAGGTATTACAGATCAAATTTGTTCGTTCATTGTGTGTTAATTTAAGTTTTTTGATTGAGTTAAGCCTTCCAATTGATATTTTATAGTGTGTCTTTCTGTGTTGTGATGTTGTACTATTGTTTCAGAAAAGGGAGAAGGTTTGGTACCATTAAAACGTTTAATCCCGCTGCAAATGTTTGCACCTGTTCTAAGTCAGGAATCTGATGTACAGTAGTTGTCGTCTGTTTATGTAGTTCATACGTGTTTCTCGTTTCTCGTTTTTATATAGATTAGACCGTTGGTTTTCCCGTTTGAATGGTTTTACACTAGTAATTTTTGGGGCCCTTTATAGCTTGCTGTTCGGTGTGAGCGAATGCTCCGTGTTGAAGGCCGTACCTTGATCTATAATGGTTTACTTTTATTAATTGTTACTTGGATGGAGAGTTGTCTCATTGGCACTCATACCACATCTTCCTATATCTAACCAACACATGAATGAAGAATGTGTAAAAGAATGTAACAAGAAGCTGGTTACCATTTTCTGCTGTATAGTATGTAAAACAATCTTTTAAGAATTTATGATATTTTTAGTTATTCATTCTTTTAAATTTTTTCTTGGAATAATCTTGAGGTATATGTGTCACTGATGAGTCTTTTGTACACAAAACGCGCGTCTGGTGTACAAAATTTTAAGCCTGGTATCTATGATGAGTTTATTTCTATAACAAATCGCATCAATCTCTATATAGGCTAGGACGCATGTACATGTATACGTTCCAAGTTACTTTGCAGATTATATTAGACTGAACTCACTTCTTTTTTAAACGTCCGTAAAGTAATTGGTGTTTAATGCCACTTTCAACACTATTTTGCTATTTTGTAGCGGTCAGTTTTTATTGGTGGACGAAGCAAGAATGCCCGGAGGGAACTACCGACCTACGGTAGGAAAACTGACTGTCGATTAAGTTGGAGTCGAGCGTACCTGCTACGTGCTAGCTTCGAACTCACAACTTCAGGGTTGACAGGCAAATGGTACAGTTGTTTGACTACGTAGATACTCGACAACCGAGCCCTCCCCCTCGTACACTATGATTGATAAGTTGATTGCAATAAATAATGCCAACATAAGTATGATATTAATCTACCATATTACTTTGTTATCCATCATTTAGGATATCCCTGCTAAAATTATTATGAACGATTTATTATATGGACTTCCTTATGAATTCTTAAAATGTTTGTAAAACGCATTGGAATTTCTCTTCGCACATTCGTATTCCAAATTCGTTACAAGAACGCATATTCTGTTAATCTTAGACTTAAATAGTCTACTTTCATACTCCTTGTTGTATGTTTCAGATTACGCTAATTTAAGTTATTCTCATTAACTGTTTGTTAAGTAGTTTTTAGCTATAATGGCATGCAACATATAGGAGAATTTTCAGTGATTTTTCCTTATCATTTCGAAGTCAATTTGATACGCACTTCCGAAATATGCAAAGACATTAATATCTACGTTTCCTACTTACAGAGATGTTTCGGTTTGATTTTGGACTGATCGAAGTAAAATCACAAATTTTCATATTTCGATACTTTGCCAAACTTAGAAAAACGATATATCTTTACCTGCATTTTTGTTCCTTAGTTAATAGGCTTTTAATGAACTTATCATTTTAAAGGCAAAAAACAATTATTGTAAAATCAAGCATTTATCGGTGATAGAAAACGATGGACAGCAGTCTGTCCAACACAAATGCATGCAGAAAAAAATGTACCGTTGATTTTTTCTAGCTATTATGGTATAATATTCTCGAAGCTGTACACAATCAAATGCAATAGAAACAAGGATCTAATATGTGGTTGTATTTTTAGTTGTGCGAAAAGCCTCATTTTCGAATGCTGTAGACAGCATTTCTTTTGTTTGTAAACTCAACATCGTCATTAAACTTGTCACACACCGGCTGTATACCCTAATGTAGAACAGCACATGCAAATGCTGGCTATGTTTGACACGGGGTGGCGGTTTTGAAGTAGAGAAAAAGCGATCAAAGTAAGTAAAAGTATCAAAATTTCTATTTAAGAATTGTTAGCACCAAATTATGTGTTGCACAGAAGAAACCGAACCAGAATCCCTTTCCATCAAGCAGAAGCAGACGTTTTCAGTGCTTTTTTTGTCAAACACTTTTTTTTCCGTATGATTTATTTAGATATTAATTCCTATCATACAATTTAACCAAATGTCAGCTTCTTAGTCAAAATTAATTGGTTTAGAAGTTAATTTTTCATCGAAATCTAATGTGTCGCTCGGTGTGTCAATTTTGCGTCTCAAGGGGGTGAGGCATTTATTAAAACAAGGATAAATTTGTCTATAATTCGGTCTTTATCTGATAGGTTGTAATTCAAACTCACCCATTTTGTTAAGATGACTCATCACTAAATTAAAGTATTTCATTTGGCCGATATTTTTATTTTTGGAGTAATGTGCATTTTTAATGTTAGAAATAGAGAAAAAGTTTTAAAGTTTTATTGTTTTATACCTGAACATGATTTGCTTTCCTTTTCATTTACTATAATGGCCATGAATTCAAAGAAATCACGGCTATGGCCTAATGCTTTGTAACATGGAGCCAAAGCAGACCTCCGTATAAGATTTGGCCGAGGCCGAAGCCACCAACACCTAAACTTTATCAAATTTCTTCACCAGTTTTGTCTACAAAGCAAACGTGCACGCCGCAAAAAGGATTAATTTTACTCCGAAACATTTGCTTACTCACTCCACTGAAATACTCACTGGCATCAATATTTATATTCTTTTCCTTAAAGAAAGTATAAAGAAAGATCATGTTGGCATACATCTGTTTCTATGGTCATTATGTTGGCATACATCTGTTTCTATGGTTATTATATTGGCAAACATCTGTTTCTATGGTCATTATGTTGGTATACATCTGTTAATAGTGAAATGCAGCTGCATATTTTGATACTTGTATTATCTGTTATGATTATTCATACATATATTGTAGTATTGAGCTACATTATGCACGCCAACAAAGAAAAAAGGGAGTAAATATTGTCCAATAGAAATTTGTTTTTTTTTACAATTAATTTGGATACATGAAAGAAAATCAATCGCCAGATTATGTTCTTCTAGATTTTTAATTGCTATTTTGAAATCGTTTAAAATTGATGTGTCGTCTTCTTCAGGTCTCCTGATAGCGTTGTTGTCATTTGTGAATATAGATGCCGGTGAGTATTTCTATGGAGTGAGTAAGCCAATTCGTTTAAGAGTAAGCCCATTTTGCGACGTGCACGTGTGCTTTGTAGAAAAAACTGGTGAAGAAATTTGAAGAAGTTCAGGTGTTGGTGCTTCGACTTCGGGCAAATCTTAAATGAAGGTCTGCTCATCATTTGAGTTTGCTCCATGTTTTGGTGCATTACACCATATCCGTGACTTCTCCCTGACCATAATAGTAACTGACATGGAAAACAAATCATGTTCATGTATAAAACAAAATTCTTGGAGGCTTTTTCTCTGTTTCTAACATTAAAAGCACATTACTTAAAAAACTAAAGTATGGGACAATCAAAATACTTTAAGTTTGTGATGAGTCGTCTTTTGTCCCCTTTGCTTTGTCAATACTTTTGACTTATGCGATTTGAATGTCCCCCTGATATCTCACACCTGATTTGTAATGGCTACACGTACGTCGCGAAATTAATGCGTTCAATTTGGATGAGATAGTATCTTCCCATGCTACTGTATTATATGACCGTAAGTATATATTTTACAGCTATTCTAAATTGTACACGTTATAAAGTCATGTACATTCAACATCAAATATCATTACCTGCATTCGAAGCAGCAATTTCAACTATAACGATTAAGATGTTGAAAACCTGGTTCTTCATAGCTAGGAGAGTCTTTGAGCAAAATTGGGCAAAGTGCATTACCATTCTACCTAAAAGAATTAGTCATATCACATCAAATAACCAGATTATTTTGAAAATGACATCTTTACGTATTCTTTTTATTGATTCGAACATAACATTTCGAAAATGATATTTAGACCAGTGTCCAACAAAAAGACAAAATCAAAAGGCAGGACCTCAAAGTTTGAAATAAAACTCATCAAAGACACAAGGCTTATAATTCTGTACGGCAGACGCGAGTTTCGTCTACAAAAGTGACGATCGAATAAACAAGTTGAAGGTCAAAATCTATTGAAATCTCTCCGTCACTTTCAATGACATTGAATCTCCTAGTGAAGTATTATAGTACAAAAAATCCAGATGATTATAATAACTGTTTTGTCAAGGGACACTAAAAACATGACAGGTTAAGTAAATCAATTATCCCGTGTACACGTACACTGTAACAGTGTTACATCCAAGAGATATCGGTTGTTTATTTAAAGCATCCTATGGACACAAATAACCAAAACAACATACTAGTCTTCAGCAATAACAAATTGTCTATATAATATAACAATCTGTAGCTCACAAAATGATGTGAATAAATTAAACCGGGACTACACAGATTGCTATAAACACCTATTTATTTACATAACAAATCCATTACTATATGACGAAAACACCAATAAGGAGGTTCAAGACTTAAATCTTTTAAAAACTTATTAGACCAAAATCCGAGAGTAGCAATAACAGAATTCAATCACACAATACATTCAAAATATATATATGTATAAATCTAAGTGTGGTATTTCAGGTACAATCAATGTCATCAAGGAATAGAAAAAAAGGTTGACAGAGTACTATAAAGACCAATTGTTAAAATAAGCAATCGATATTATCTGCGTATAAAGAAAGCCTAAAATAGAACATAAGTAGGTCGCGTCGATAACCGATTTACTATTTAAAATCCTTGTAATGTTCACGTTAAGAGACGAGATGAATTTTAATAGTAATAACTTGATAATTTGTGTTGAAATATTTATTTACAGAAAAATTATTTCAATCCAATATTAAAAAAAACAAAACAAACATATCCTTGAAATGCAGCATGCACGAGTAATTTGATTGTGTTTGATTTCCTAAACGTCTCAGAAATGAAAAACTTACCTGGCGACGGCTTTACATGTACGAGTAAAATAACCTATAACCTACACACAATGATATGGTTCAATATGTCTTATTTTAGCCTCTGTATAACTTAATTTATTTCACTTTGCTGGGCGGGTTTTAACAGGTTCAGTCCATCTATAGACAAGTTTTTGGGATAAACTCATCAATGAAGTGTCCAATTATGTTCATTGGTCCGATTAAAATATGTAAACACTATTTGTGTTTTAGCAAAGTAAATAGTGAGACACAGCTGTTGATGAACATGTAAAAATGGCACATTGTGAAAATTGGAATATGAAAGTATAACTATGACGATGGCAGTTGCAAAATAGGCATATGTCGTTATTCTATAACGTTTTAATGTACTTTTTCTTCTGTTTACTCCGAATGCATATTTTGTTGTTGACAAAAGGAGGGGGGGGGGGGGGGGGGGGGAGGCATAGGGACAAGTTGCAAATGATACTTAGACCTTATTGATTTCCTTTTTTGAACAGCAAGAAGTTTTTTTTTTAAATTTCCTTAAAGATTTTAATTGATGCATAATTTTATTGAATGTAACAAAAGGAAATTAAACTTTGACACTTTGTAAAATTTTTCTTTTAACGGAGAGGAAAGTATCTTCTTGGTACGCTCTTCAATAATTAGTAATACAGAAATATTTACCCGAACTAGCAGATGTGTGTAAATCTACGAAGCGGTAGAACATGCACACGTAAATCGAGAATTTCTTTTTTTGAAAGCTGTATATTATGATCATATTTATGTATTATGTACCCTTTTCTTGTTTCAATGCTAAACATATGGAAATTTTATAAAAATGTCACAGCCTTTCCACTTGTACGCTTATATTTGATAAGTATGCACTAAATAGAGAGGGAATTACTGTATACAATGCAATGATATCACTAACACAAGTTTGTAAATAAAGATATCAGTTAAAACAAGTACAAATATGGACCAATTCAAGTATACCTTCAAGGGTGCGCTCGACATTAATGACGTAGCACGAGGTTATCTGTTTGGTCTTTAAAGGAGACGTGACAAGATTTTTTGTTTTTCTGTTTTTTTTGATAAATCAATAAATATTAGTCTTGAAACATGTTTCTTGCAATTTTGCTGGTCAAAACCTGACTAAACGGCATTTTTTAGGTCAAAGAATCCAGCGCTTGACATAATCAATGATGTTTAATTAGATAACGATCACGTGATTGTACTTACGTCACGGGCTCCCAGCTGAGAAAATGTCTCACACATGGGCGATGTTGATCACTTTTCTGCACAATTACAAAATAGACGGTATTGACAGCACTTTGCCCGCTTACTGACAAACTAAAGACAATTGACCTCATCAATTTGAGCCATTGTGTGAGGAAAATAACCTAGAAAAAGACATTAATTCTTCATGCGAAGAGTACAAAAACGACGATTTTTCAGACACTACCAATCGGCTTGTTACCATACATATGGGTTCGTCTGATGAACAAATTTAATAAAGCGCTTTCTGCTTTTGTTTTTGTTTTTAAATAAAACTACTTTTAATCATGATTGAAAGTATACATTTTTAATTATTGATGATCAAACGGTCCGTTTCTTCTCTGTTACGGCAATCTAATTAAAATATAGATCTCTGATTTCGTTATACTAAATATGAGATCTAAGGACTTCCCGTAAAAGGTTTCACTTCTGTGACCTTTTGTGACGTAAAATTTGACCCCAGAAAGAATTTATATCGACCAATCAAAATCGTCCTTATGAACGCGACTTCGGAATATTTTGAAGATGGGGACACAGAAATGGAAAGACGACTTAGAAAATTCATTAACTGAAATTTTGCCTCAGTACAAAGTTAAAAGAACTAAAATTTGAGCGGAGACAAATTTTTGAAACTATTTTGGAACACAAAGATTGCATGGTCACTCTTCCAACGGGCTATGGAAAGAGTTTACCATGTCAGATGCTGCTACCTTTTGCAAGGAAAATGAAGGAACTCGGTACAGACACTATATTCACTAGGACCGATGGTAAAATCGTGGTTATTTCACATTTTAACTTGTTTCCTTGTAATATGAACTGTGAATTTGATAGAAGTACATGCATTATAAGCCTTACAAAAGTAAAATACCTGAAAATAGGGATAAAGTTACATATCCCATACTAGCTCGTGCGTGCTATAGTGCTAATTCGTACAGAGTAGTATATATAGACTAAAGTCCTGTTTTAACTGTCCATCAATGAATGAATGTATGAATGAATAAATGATTGTGTAAATGATAGTAAATATAGTACACACAACATAGTACTAGTATATAGCTGTACTCTTCTGATAAATTGCTACGGTGACAAGAAATATTACTGTAATAGAAATAAGTAGATGTGGTATGAGTTCCAATGAGACAACTCTCCATCCAAGTCACAATGTGTAAAAAGTAAACCATTATAGGTCAAAGTAGGGCCTTCAACACAGGGCCTTGGCTCACACCGAACTGCAAGCTTTAAAGGGCTAAAAAAATGACTAGTGTAAAACAATTGAAACAGGAATCCAAAGGTCTAATCTATAAAAAAAAAAAAAAAAAAAAAAACGAGAAAAACTTATGAACCACATCAACAAACGACAACCACGGAACAACAGGTTCCTGACTTGGGACAGATTCAAACAAATGCAGCGAGTTTAAACGTTTTAACAGGCGTCAACCTTCACCCTAACCTGAAACAGTAGTATAAAAATAATGCTTTGTGAGAAAAATAACTACACGTACATGTATGTAAACCAGATGTCTGATCTGAAATTACAGTAAATAGTCTTGTCAAGCTCAAATGTATAACTTTAATTACATTTCGTTCGTAACATTACTAGTATATATAAATAATTTTTTTGGAAGACTTGTTTTTAAAAGTAATTATGCTCTTGACTGAAAGAATAATCTCTCTTTACTCTCAATACTTGATAAATAGAAGAACAAGGTAGAGGAGGCTATCTACAATGTATAACATTGCACATACATACCTGTACATGCTTATTAAATTGTTCAGAAAACAACCAACCATCAAACAAAATCGATAGGTATCATAAATTATTGCCTGGAAATGATGATGCTACACAAAAAGTAAAAATGTTAAATGAAATGAATTATACAAGGTTTAAGATTTGTGCATTGTTTCTGGTAATAAACACATACAAAAATGTGCAATTAGGGAGCAACCATTTAACTTCCCTTAAAGTTGAATGGTCGTTCCCTTATATAGTAGTATTGTGTGTGATAACTTTATTAGTCCATATACACAGACCATCAGATCTAGAGCAATTTATATACATGTAGCTAGAACTATACTTTGACAATATATATATATATTATATCAAGATACATGTATATATTGATTTAAATGGTGAATAATCTGGTAATCTAAATTAAATTTCCAGTTTAGCTGTATACACACTAAGAAACATCCAATTCCAGGTTGATACAAACTTATTTTTATGGAACAAATCAATTATGTAAATAATAGCTTTGTAAATACATGTATGAAATGAAGAAATCGTTTTATAGACAGAAGCGAGTTATGGGGGATATCCCCTTTGCAGCTTAGTACATCTACATGTATTCTATGGTCAATGCATAGCCTTTATATTAGTTTTTACATTGATTGATTGATTGATTGGTGTTTAACTCCACTTTAAGCACAAGTGTGCTATTTCCTGGCAATCAGTTTTTCTTGGTCTAGGAAGTTAGTACTACTGAAGAAGTGATGTATTTTAAAAATAAGAAGATGTGGTACGATTGCCAATGAGACAACCACACAACATAAGAGACCAAATGACACAGAAATTAACAACTATAGGTCACTGAAAGGCCTTCAACCTTGAGTAAAACCCA